TTCCTGTTATCTTGGCTTGATCTTATTATCGACTTGAAATCAAGAGACATCTACTTGAAAATATCATTGTCATTTTATATCATCCAAATCAAAATAAATAAAATGACAAACTCATTCAAAATCTTTCAACATTGATAAACTTTCAAAACTTGTTGTGCAAATGCCGAAGCGGTCCTCTCTTCTTGAAACCAAAAGCATTCCTATCATATTCCTAACAACTCCTTTCAAGACAAGTGTTGCCTAAGATGATATATTAATACAAAAAAAAAATCCAAAAACAAAAATAAAAAGCGATTTGACGTCTTTAATGATGATGAGTGGTATGCATTGGGGTCATGATCCCACCTTATCCTCCTCTTCTCTAGAAGTCAATCATAGTTTTCAAATAAAATTAGAGCTTAAAAACCTAAATAAAATTATATTTAAGATGAAGAAAAACCATTTTTTGTATACTTTTCCATAAACAAACAAAAAAACTTATCTCTTATTGTCCAACTTTGAGCCTAAAGGATTTCTTACAATAATGACCTAGACTAGGTTCTCCCCCATACTAGGGATAATTTAGAATTTCATTAGTAATCAAGGACGTTCTCTTAGAAAGATGAGATGAGAAAAGATGATGATCATTCACAAAACCAAACTTGTCGAGAATATCCTAAAATGACTTTGAAAAAAAACAAAAGGGAGAAAAAGAAAAACAAAAGTGAAAGTACTAAGACAAAGAGAAAATGTTATCTAGAGCAATCCCTATCATATCTTGAGGTTAGAAATGCTAAAGATAGAAATCTCAAAACCCAAAAAAAGAAAACGAATGATAATAGTGAACATGAAAGGAAAGTTGAGATTAGAGGATGAGATCAATTGGTAAGATGATAAAGTCAAGGCGGCATGCCTAAAGTAATTTCGATGAACAATTAAGTGATCCTAGGTCTTTACATCCTCAAATACCTTTTGATCCTTTCATATCCTTTCATTCTTTTGAGCCTTTCATATCCTTTCATTCATAAGCGAAAGCCAAAGCCTTCATTACGTGCCTATGAAAGCCCTTTCTCATCAAGGATGACTTATTTGGGTTAATGATTTTTAGCTTCAAATGAAAAAAAATGTGCTTGAATAAAACTCGACTTGTATGTGCATTACAAACTATCATTTATAATATCGAATCATAAATTTTCATCAAGTAACTAAAGGCAAAAAAAAAAAAATGAATCAAGTCTTTTTAGGCAATACCACCCATTTGAGCCAAACATTCTTCAAAGATTTTATTAGTTCATGAAATTCATCCAAGCATGCCACTCTCTAGGACTAAACTTTTATCCATCACCTATTAGAAGAGACTAACCCTTTTCAAAACTTTTATGATCTAAACACATTTTTCTCATCTTAGTCTCAAAATGGATCACCATAAGAATTATGACTTGATATTGCATGATGTATTTTGGCTTTTGATCAAATAAGTTAAACATCTTTTGAATGAGATTACTCTCGTTTGAACATCTCAATGATTTCTCTTGAATAATTCAACTTATCTTGATAGAAAATTTTTAAATAGACAACTCGATCCATGAAAGTCACAACAAATGAAAATGATTTTCTAAAAATTCGGAAAAACAAAATCTTTCAAAGACAAGTTCATATAATTAAGTGCAAACTTCAAAAGAAGATGAAAAACATGAGTAACAACAATGAAGGTAGATGAAAAATGGATGACATAACCAATGCTTCTAAAACATGTTATGGCTAGGCTGATCATAAATCCGTGTCGGCACTAGAAGACTAGCATTTTAACTTTTCTCCTATACGAGCAATAAGGAGATAATCGAGTTATGGCCAAATATTCATTAGCTCGATCATTTAACTTTTACTTCTTCTATTTTTTATTCCCCCAACATAATGTGATTCATTGTCTTTCATCTCTAAAAAAAAACCCTTATTTTCTTAAGCACGATCGAGTCCCTAAAAATCTTTTCTTTGGTCTCACGCACGATCTTGTGATTAATATCACTCATGAAATTTGATAATGCATTGAATTGGCATAAGATAGCTTGATAAAGATCTTACTTTGACTTAATCTACAAGAGGTCAGCCTCCATAAAATATGTTATAAGCTTTCTCTATAAATAGTTGAGGCAAAAGGCTATCTTAACCAATTTGGACCGGACACTTGATATATGGCCGCAAAAGCCTATATATTTGGGGATAGTACCAAAGGGGCACACAAGAATAGTGATCACTTGTTCGGTCGGAGGATCAAAAACTACTTAGATGACACAAATAATAATCCAAGTATCAATCCTCAATGAATAGAAAAACAAAGGGCATAATCAAAAATACAAACGAGACAAGCTCAATGATAGTAGTGGGCCTAGGACTCGTGAGCCTATTCAAGGTACATGATACACAAATGAAGGGAAAATAGGGAAACCTATGTTTTGGTAGTGACAACCTATGCTTCTCTCAAAACCCTACTTAAGTCTAATTCAAAATAAACAATCATATCTTATCGAAACATGGTCTATCATGTTAATAGGTAAAGTGGTCTATCACGCCTTGTAAAAAAAATGGTCTTTCATATCCTTCCAAGCCAATATGGTCCGTCATATCGGTCTAGGTCAAATTAATCTTTCATGCCTTGTGAAAAAAATATGTTAGTCATGTTTTCTTTTAAATTGACATGGTCAATCATGTCCCTCTAGGTCGGCATGGTGGATCGCATCCCTTTAAATCAACATGGTCAATCACATTTTTTTTTAAAATGACATGGTTAATCATGTCCCTACGGGTTGGTGTGGCTAGTCAAGCCACTTCAAATCAACGTGGTGAGTCACGTTTTCTTTTAAATTGACATGGTCATTCATGTCTCTCTAGGTTAACATGGTCGGTTGCATCCCTTCGAATCAATGTGGTCGGTCATATTTTTTTCTTAACATGGTCGGTCATGTCCTTCTAAGTCAATATGGTCGATTGTACCCATCAAATCAATCCGATCAGTCATGTTTTTATTTTAAATTGATATGGTCATTCATGTCCCTCTAAGTCGGCGTGGTCGATCACGTCCCTTCAAATCAACGTGGTCGGTAACATTTTTAAAAAAAAATTGACATGGTCGATCATGTCCCCGTAGGTTGGCATGGTTGGTCGCATCCCTCCAAATCAACTTGGTTATTCACATTTTCTTTTAAATGAACATGGTCGGTCATGCCCCTCTAAGTCGGCGTGGTCGGTCATGCCACTTCAAATCAATGTGATCATTCATATTTTCTTTTAAATTGACATGGTCGGTCATGTCCCTCTAGGTCGACGTGCTCGGTTGTATTTTTTTTAAAATTGACATAGTGGGTCATGTCTCTATAGGTCGACATGGTCGATCGTGCCACTTCAAATCAACGTGGTCGGTCGTGTTTTCTTTTAAATCGACATGGTCGATCATGTCCCTCAAAGTCGGCATGGTCGGTCATGCTCTTTCAAATCAACGTAGTCGGTCGTATTTTTTTTTAAATTGACATGGTCATTCATGTCCCTCTAAGTCATCATGGTCGGTTGCTTCCCTTCAAATCAATGTGGTCGGTCGGGTTCTCTTTTTGACATGCCTAGTCATGTCTCACACGATCAACATAGTCGGTCGCGTCCCCTCAAATTAACATGGTCAATCACGATTCCTTTTAATTGGACATTATCGATCATGTCCTTATAGAATTGACATGGTCGGTCACATCCTTTTGAATAAATATGGTTAGTCATATCTTCTAAAGTCGACATGGTAAATTGCATCCTTTCAAATTAAAGTGGTCGATCACGTTTCTTTTTAATTAGACATGGTCGATCATGTCCCTACGGAATCGATGTAGTTGGTCACATCCACTCAAATAAATATGGTCAATCATATCTTTTAAAGTCGACGTGCTTAGTCCTATCTCATCAAATTAATATGGTCGATCATGTTTTCATTTAATTGGACATGATCGGTCGTGTCCCTATAAAATCAATGTGGTCGGTCGCATCCTTTCAAATAAATATGGTCAATCACATCTCTCCTAATTTTCTTCTATTTTCTTTACAAGCTTAATATGTACAGTTGGGAAAAAAAAAGCTTTTCATTGGCTTTACATCGTAAGCATTATAAAGAGGGGCAATTGTTATCACCTAAATTTTTACCTTTGTCACTTTTACTTTAATTTTTATTTTTTATTGCAAAATACCAAAAATAAATAAAATAGAAAAATGGAAAAAATAATTGGTATAATTATTTTAGGTTAAAAAAGAAAAAAGAGAGAGAAGGTAATAAAAAAGGGACAATTGAGGGTCCAATCAAAAAAATTAAAGCTTCAATTCCTTTTTCTTAAGTTACATAATGATTAGAAAAAATTAAAAAGAAATGTCTCCATTAATTTAAGTTTAGGGGGGCATCAAAGCAAAAAATCAAGATTGAACTCAAATTGATGGATGGAAGAGAGCCAAGGACCAAATTAAACCTTTGCCAAAAAAGACCTACCTATAAAAGCCACTCCCATCCATTTCTTAGTAACATCTATTGTTCACCATAACCTTCACCAAAAAAATCGTCCAGTCGCCTTTCTCTCCACGACTACTAAAACTTCATTCCTCGCCGACCACTACCCAAAAACCATCCCATAGCCTCCTCCTCACCAAGACAACCCCTCTTTAGCCAAATTTTATTATTCATCACCATCCTAGTAGACACTTAACGATCAACCCTCTCCTTATCTCTCTATTGAAAAAGCCATCATTTTCTCCCTCACTCCAAAATCAACCCTTTTACCATCATAACCTACAAGCTTAAAAATAATAGCCCTACCTTCGACATTTCTATTGTCCGATCCAACTCCTCCGAGCATGCGTCCAACTCCTACAGTGTGTAACCTTGTTTTTTAGCCTCGCGTGCAACCCCGTTACGGTAGCTCACCCTCATCCAAGCATAGCTCTCCCACGCTCGGGCTCTCTCATCCCCCAAGCCTCAACACCCAAGCATCCCCTCACCCTTAATAACCACATATGCCAAGCATGCCATCTAGCCTCGTACGCCCATCCGGTTCCACGATCGGCACCCTCTCATCCACGACATCCCCTTCACCCACTTTTGTGCACTCTAGCTCGCGCACGACCCTAACACTCCACACCCAAATAGCCTCCTCACGGCCCAAGCCACTAGGCATACGTGAGCAACAACCTCACGACCTAGTCCACCATGGACACCCGGCCTTCTCGTGCACTAGCTCCGGCCCCGATCCGGCCTCCCCTAGACCATACACGCCCTATCCACGGGCTGATCACACACCATCACGCCTACCTTGCTAGCCTAGCATACCTTTCTCCGGCCATTGCCCTCACTCTCATGCCTAAACCATACGCCGGAAAGCCTTCTTCCTCGCCCAAACCATAAGCCAACCAGCTCTCTCCCTCGTATCGGCTTCCTCACTCGCACCAACCTCATGTCAACTTCTTCGTGTGCACACCAACCTCATGCCGGGCTTCCTCTCTCGCATCACCGGCTCTCATTTCACGCACATACCAACCCACGGACCTCGCCCTCTCAACCATGCACCTAGCAAGCCACCCTTACACATACCACCCCATACCATGCTCGGTAACCCCACTCCGACCAGCGGCACCAACCCCTACTTTAGACTTGAAACCCTCCACAAAACTAGCCATTCCAACCCAAATATAGCCCTCTAAATTGCCTCCTTCACATACACGAAAATACCTCAAAAACTAGCCCGAAACAACCCTTTAAATAGCACAAAGAAAACCCTAAAAATTGACCTAAAATAGCCATAAAACACACCAAAACCAACCACTAAAACAATTATCAAAAGCCCCTAAAAATGTCTCTTTAGGCGGCCCCTTTAAGGCATCAAAATAGCCACTAAAACACCCACAAGCCAACTTTAAGACAACCCTAAAACATTTTCCCAGTGACACTTTTGGAGTTATTGAAAAAGAAAGAAACAAAGCAAAAAAAAAAAATTAAAAGGAAAAAACTAAAAAAATTTCTTATGTTGGATTGTATTGGCAAGAATAACATGATGTTGTAGGCTTGTATTTGCTTGATTTTTAACAAGAAAATAAGCAACAAAAGTCACCTTAAGCTTTAGGAACTCTAAAACTCTATAATAGTAACTATGTGAATTTAGTAGTAACTCTAGAGTATTCACCCAAGTAACGGAGGAGTTTTTGCCACTTTAGCGACACTCATACCACATATTGCCTACCAATATTTACTCTCTTTTCTCGGCTAATTGAATAAATGAAGAGGGTAAGATTGACTCTAAATCAAACATCGACATTTTAGGACTCTTGGGTAAAAATCAAAAAACCATGGCACTTCGAAAATATGATAAAGGTTAAAAATGAATGGTATGTTTAGAATGTGATTAAAATTATGATATTTGGCTTCACATTTATGGATTAAATGCGATTAAAATTAAATATTACCGTAATTAGTGACAAGATACCTGCTTTTTGTCATTATGCCTACCTATTTAAATGTAAAATTTGTGTTATTTTTGTAGTTTAATTGACTTTTATGATTGGTTGCGGTTATAAAATGAAGTGCATTGATGGCTTCTCACTTATGTGACGAAGTCATCGGTAGTTTCAAAATTATTTTGTCCGTTTCCTTATTCTTATTTTTCTTGATTTTTGTTTCTTGTTTCCTGATTTCGTTTTCTATTATTTGTTTCTTATTTCATAAAATGATGCTACTAGTGGCTTTCCATTTATGTGACGAAACCGCTAGTAGTTTCAAAATTAATTTTTATTTAATGTCTATTTGTTTGAAATGAAGTCGTTAGTGGCTTTTCACTTATATGACGAAGCTGCTTGGTGACTTCTAAATATTTATCTACTCTTTGCTCAAGCTAAATAAAGTGATCGGTAACTTTTAACTTGTGTGATGAGTTTATCGTTAGCTTTAAACTCATGACTCAAAGTTGTCGATGGCTTCCAATTTATGTGAGCGAAGTCGCTAGTGAGTTCTTCTGCGATACCAATAAAAGGCTATCCATCTTTAGAAACGCACCTATTTATTGGTAATAGGTTATGTTTACTAATGATTAAATTCTAAATTTCTTACCTTTTCCCCATCGAATAAGGAGTATTGGCCTTGGATCGGCTCGAACTCCCAAACTATCCTGTTTTACACTCAAACCACCTAGCTATATATTTTTTATAAAATAAACTCATTTAAATAGATTAGAAGCATAACATAATAAAAACTAAATTTTTATACTCATAGGCAAACAATGCGGCGTACCTTAGGTAGGACAAGATAATGGTGATGTCATATCTTCCACATATGTAACCGATCCCTAGTCGGATATCCACGTAGACCAATATGTTTAGAATTTCCTAGTTCTCCCCAATTAGCTAGGTGGCGACTCCTTGTTTCGGCCCTCCTCCTTTCGCGATGGCCAATGTCGACAATATATATAATTAAAGTTACACAAATATAATTAAATAATTTATTTTGCCTATAATTAATTAATTTTATTAGAAATCACTTAATTAACAATTAATAGTTTAATTAATTAAACTAATTACACCACCTATTAAATATTTAAAGAGCAATAAATTTTTTTAAATACAAATAATTACACTTAAATTAATAACTAACTAAATAAAAATTATTAAACTCATAATTATTTAGACTAACTCTTAAAAAAATATTTAAATACAAATAATTACACTTAATTTAACAACCAACAAACAATAATTGCTTATAATAAAAAATTATTTAAAACTAACTAACAATTTATCAATACATAATAAAACAACAACAATTAACAATTAAATTTTCTAAATACCAACAATTAAACTAACTAACTAATAATTAAAATATATATATAATTAACAACAATAATACAATTAACAACAATAATTACATTAAAAATTAATTAATAAATAATTGACAACAAGAACCATTAACAATAATAATTAACAACAAAAATTAACATAAAATTAAATAATTGCAATAAATAAATAAAATAAAAGGATGGGTTAGATGAGGGAGAACTCGTCACCCACGAGGAGGAGGAGGTCTTGTGGAGGAGCGACTACCGATGGAGTGGCCGGAATAAGGGAGGTGGAGGAAAGGGAGAGAAAGAAAAAGGACATGGAGGAAGAAAGGGGGAAAGATGGAGGGGGAGATAAAAATAAGGGAAAAGAGGAGGCGAGAAGGAGATTTGAAGGAAAATAAGGGAAAGGGGAAGATTTGAAGCCAAAAAAAAAGATGGAGTTCACGACTGGAAAAAGAAGAAGAAAAGAGGAAAAAAATTGGGGGAAAAATCAGGAAGATAGGTATTTAGGGATTGAAAGTTTTAGCAACGATCCAAAAACCATCGCTAATTGTTAAAAAAAAAAAAAAAAAAAGTGGCCATTTTCCTCCCCACTCCCCAACGGCAAGAAAATTAGCGATGGTCTATAGACCATCGCTAATAATTGTTTGTCAAATTGCGAATGTTTCTTTAAAACCACTGTAAAAATTGGTCACAATTGACCAATTTAGAGATAGTTTGTAGACCATCACTAAATTATTAACATCCGGACCATTTTAAAAAAAACCATCGCAATTATTTGTGTAACGCTTGTTAATCGAGACACCTCACACGAAGGGTCACGACCGAACGGATCAATACTACAATTTATATCCTTTTTATTTTCTTAAAATTAAGTTCCTAATTTAATCTTATTTATCTTTAAATATGTCAATTTAAAATATGTCATTAATAATATATAATCATAATATTTTCTCATTAACATAGTGGACGAGTTATTCTAAAATTTCATCATTTATAAAGCATCTCTCACCATAATTAATAATTCCTAAATAATCTTGTCCCAATATTCATACTCAAATTATAAATAAAAATTTTAAACATTCATAAGTTCAACATCAATACACTTATTATTTTAAAAATAAATATTTATTTAAAGCATAACCTAATCATTAGGAACACACAAAGGCAAGCACATGAATTACTAGTCACCGGAAGCAACACCAATATCATCAACATTTGTATCCGTACCTACACCATAGAAAAAATGTGAGATATGAATATCCCAATAAGTATAACATTCACGATTTTACATTAAAATTTTTTGTACATGAATGTCTTTAAAAAAAAATTTCTCATTTGGGCTCGCTAGAAGATACTAACACGAGTTAGCAAGGAATAGCTCGAATAAAAACATGTATAAAAACATTAATCTCATTATTTAACAGGAAAACCTCAACCTTTAAAGTTCAACGTTTATGCCTCGATAGGCAACCTCAACCTTTAAACTTCAATAGACATTAAAAACAATAACCTCATTCGTTTACTTAAAACATTTTTTTCAATCAACATGTAAAACATATGCATACATATGAATGTACCTCAAGACCATGACATCACATCAATCACATAAAAACATATAGCATTTACATCCATAGTATAGGTCGGTTACACTTACTTGATTCGCTTAATACTATTGTTTATTGTAACCTTTCTCTAAAAATTGGTACCTCCACTTGATTCAATACCTTAAACATACATACATACCATATAACATAATAAATTGAATACTATTATTTTATCTCTAATCATTTAATTTTTATTAATTCCTATTCTTTTTTGGTAATTTTTTTAAATTAAAAAAAAATCCTAATTAAATCATTAACTCTACTCTAATTTATTCAATTCTCATTTAATTATATTCATATAATCCAATGTTATTAAATTTCAATTTAACCTTTTCAATTCTTATTTAAATACACTTAATCATCAAATATTCTAATAAAAATTTAAGATTTTAATGCTAAAATATAATTTTTACATGATCAATCCTAAATCATGAAATTTCAAACTCAATTCTACCTAAAATCATATAGAAACAAATAATTAAATTATATATTTTTCTTACCTTGAATACTTAATCACCAGGACTTGAATCTTCTTCCAAATACATTTGACTTCACTTCTTACTCAATTATATTCTCTCTCCCTCTCTCTCTTTCTCTCTCTCTCTCTCTTGAAATATAAGCTTATGAAATGACTTTCCTAAATGAGGAGAATGACAACCTATATATAGGCATGGGAAATTGAAACATTTGAGAATTTTAAGTGAATGAATTAAAAATAATAAAAGACAACTAACTTTCTTCTTTTATGGCCACTTGGGTGGCTTTCTTTCATGACCACTAACTTTCTTCTTTTATGGTCAATTTCTTTTCTTTCATGACCATTTATGTCTCCCTTTTAATTTTAATATATGTTTCAAAAATTTTGCTCTTCCTTCGTAGCTACTAACATTCCATTTAAAAGCTATTAAAAGCTATCATTATTTCATTATTATTTTATTAATTATTATGGTTATTTTAATTATTTAATTCCTAATAGCTTAGACTATGATTATAGAACTAGTTCCTAACTATTAAAAAAAAAAACTAAAAATATATATCCTAAAACTCTATATCTAATCATCACATCATCTAAACGCATAAAAAACATATTAAATTGCATATAAAAATAAAGCATATTTGTATATATATATATATACACACAATATATTATCATGCAAAGTTTTTGGGCATTATAATTTGTTTGTTAGCGATGGCTTATAGGCGATTGTAAAATTCTCGTCAAAACCTCCATTTTTTGGTAGTTGTAAAA